ACTAACAAGTCGTAGCTGCTAAGGTTTCAGCCGTCTAGCCATATGTGGCCCTCCTCTAGGAGTGGCACTCATGGTCGTGGCATGGTACACACCCTAGTAGGAAAAGAAATATACCAACCAGTGCCCCTCTTGCCCTTATGGAAAGCTACAGACGAGCTAGTACAATCTAGTTAATAGGTTAAAGTTAGAGCCATATGACACTCGAGGTTGTACGAAACCTCCTGGGTGGCCGCTTCAGGATTAAGTCCTTATGGAGAGGCACTAGAGCACTCAACCCCGTACTCTAGCCCCCTAATTATTGCTAAAAAGCTCCATTTTAACACATTGCATAATACCTTTAGTCATGTTTAACAGTTATTTTATGTTGAGCGCTACAACATCTATCCAAAATGCATCCCAAACCATAAGTGTCAAGGATATGTGGTACAAGTAGTAATCTAGGTAAAATCCTTAAAGGTAATTCAAATTTAGACACATGCATGTATATGAATTATAGAGTTCATAGGTACAAGGGGCCTTTGCTACACTTGCCTTCCTCAAAGTTCTCCTCTTGGTATTGCTGGTCACCTGACTGCTCCTCAGAAACCTCAAACTATTCACCCTCTAAATGTATTCCAATTCACCAATCAAGCATCCAAGCCAATCATCACATACATACAAAGATACTTCTATTAGAATAGTACACCAAATAGTAGAAACATAGACTGAAAAACTTATAAAACTAATCTACGTACTGCTACGAACACATGAGCAAAAGAATCACTCAAATTAGACTTAAAACGCAAAAGTTATGCATAAAACAAGTTTCAATGGCATTTCTGTAAATAAACCGAACTCATTTTTGAATTAAAAAAATTAAAAACTAAATTCTAACACTGGTTGGATGGTGCACACTATTTTCGAAAAGTACAGGGGTTAAAACAGAAGAAAACAGGACTGAAATAGAATACTTTTGAACTGATATGTATCGCTGGTTGATTTCATGGAAACCGAGGGGCTAAACTAAAAAAGTGTGCGTCGGGTCGCGGTTGACTGCATCGTTGGCTGACGTGGCCGCCACACGGCTGTGCGGCATTGGTGCGGTGCACCACGTGTACGTGGTCTCGTTGTCGTGGGCACGCGGTGCTCCAAGTCCACGGTCCATGGTGGACTGGTTACATAACCCCGAAGGGGTACGCGATCTCGGCCGTCCATCTAAAAACCAATGGCGCTGGCGTGAAGGGAGAAGCGAGCCACCGAGGGAAGATAGCCCCCACGGCCGACGCCATGGCCGATGGTGAGCCGAGCTCACCGACGATCACCGGGACGGTGTTTTCGATGGCCAATCACTATGCGGTCTACACCTAGATGTTGCGCGTGGCGTTGCGAACTCAATACGGCACAAAACTAGGGCAACAAACGGGGAGCACGTCGGGATGATCGGCTCCGTGGCGGCGCCATGGCCGGTGGCTGCTGGAGCTCACCGATACGGCTCTCCGGTGCACCAATCACGATAAGAGAAGGACGGGTAAGTAGCGTGGCTCACCACGAGTTCGATGGAGGTGGCCGCGGCGTCCAAGGAGCTCTGGAGGTGGCCGGTGACATGCGGTGGTGGCTACGGAGGGAGAATGGCGCCGGTGAGTTCAAATCTGTAGAAACCATGAACAATCCAAGGGGAAGAAGGCACCTACGGCCGTGGTGAGGTGGCGCGGAGCTCTGGGACACGACTGCGAAGGCCGGCGAGCTCTGGAGCGGCGGTTTGCAGTGGTGACGGCGAAGCTAGTGCGGATGGGGACAAAACGAGAGGGAGAGAGCGCTCGGCGTGGATTATATTGGCGAGCGGGACGGGGTAGAAGGAAGGGAGCATGATGAGGGCGGATTTGGATGCCTTCCTTGCCTGGCCCGGTGGCCCCACGGGTGCGGCTGCCACCGATGGCAAGTGCGCCATCACCGGCGAGGCAGGGAAGAAAGGGGAAAGAAACGGTTGGACGCGCGGGCCCTGCGAATCAGTGGGAGAGAAAGGGGAAAAAGGGCGTGGCGTGGAGCGGGTAGGCCATTGCTGCCTAGGCTGAACGGCGCCCTCCTAGGTCGAGGCACGTGCGTGAGCGTGGGGGGGGAGAAAGAGCGGGCCGCCAACGGCCCAAGGCCAGATCTAGGCGCGGGAAGGGGAAGGGGCTAGGCCGGCTCCAGTCCTGGGCCGAATTGAGGTGTAGGTGAAAAATAGAAAATGAAACCTTTTTCAATTTCTTGTTTTTGCAAACTTGCTCCAAATTCAAACTAGATTTGAATTTAAAGCCACCCAACTCTAATCCTACACTTAGACAAAAACCAAAATGCCTCGGCATGAATGCAACAATCATGTTACTAAATCTTATAGTAAATTTTAATTAGCCAAAAATTATTATTTAACCTAGTTTAAAATGCATAAAAATTGATTAAAGGCTCAATTTAATTACTAAATTATAATAATTTTTTAGGGTGTTACAGCCCCAGAAGCCCCCGGAGCAAGGCCGCAGCAACAGCGATGTTCTGGCTTGCCCGGGTGAAGTGTGGGAGGGCTTCGTCGTCCTCGATGATCCTTCGGTTCACATCGCGGGCCACGGCATGCGCACGCCCACCGTCTCGATGGCGCTCGATCTCTCGCTTGAGCTCGCGTGTTCTTGCTCAAGCTGGACTCGTGCTTCTTCGAGCTCTTGGTGCCGCGCCACAGCTGCTCTACCCACAGGTGAGGTGGGGCCTCTACGTCCTCGTCGACCTCATCATCGAGGTCATCTGTTGGGGTAGCCCTCCCTCATGGATGCTTTCGATGTATCCCTCGGGGGTACCTGCCATGAAACATTCTCGCGGGAGTAATGGCTCCCCCTGTTGGATTTAGAGTTGGAGGGCGACTTCGATTCTCCCACGAGAAGGTCGTGGACAGATTCCACAACGTATTCGGTCATCTTCACGAACTCGTCGTTCGTAGGGGATGGAGGCATGCGCAGACCGTACGGGAGCGCTGTCGGGGCGCTCTGGATGAGGTATTCCGGGGAGAGCGGCTCTCCTCCGGCAAGCTGCATCATGACGTTGGCGAACCAGAAGGTGAGGCGGCGTAGGTCCTCCCGGGACGGTCGGGGTCCTAGAAGGCGTCGAGCTGGCGCTCTAGCCTCCCATAATTGAATTCGAGGAGCTTGTCACTCCCGGGGGCGCGGGCCTTCGGTGTGTGCAGCTACAGCTCCCCAAGCGCCTCGGTGATCGCGTCGAGGCCGGCAGAGAGGAGAGGTTGGACAACGATGGGAACCTGTGCCAACTCTCCCTCTATCATGCCAGCCTCTTCCCTGGCGTCAGAGTTTTGACTCAGGCCCATACGCTTGGACTTGGAGTGGTTGGCGGCGGTATGGGTCCCCGTCGGACGAGGCAGAACCCGCTTCCTTGGGATCAGGCGAGATGGAGCCCGCACCCAAAGGGTCGGGCGAGATGGAGCCCGCGGTCTCGAGGCCGGGCAAGACGGAGCCCGCAGCCTCGAGGTCGGGCGAGACGAATCCTGAGGCCTTGGACGAGATGGAACCCACGTCCTTGGGGTCAGGCAAGATGGAGCCCGCACCCAAGGGGTCGGGCGAGACGGAGCCTGCGGCCGTGGGGTTCGGGCGAGACCTTTTAATACGTCTCGAGCCATTCGGAGAAATCAGCGTGGGCGCTAACTTCCTTACTTTGGGTATCCCTAATATCGATACCCGACACTTTAGTATAAACAAAATTTCCTTCACTGGCTTTTGCACACCATGGCCACGACGAGCGAGGTGGATGGGTCACGGCGGTGGACGCCCCGCGCGGCGCGGCATGGGGCGTGAGATTGTGGCGGGTGTGGCGTGGGATGGGACGCGGTGGCGAGGCAGAGTAGGCGGGCGGACAACGCAGTTGACATGGCCATGTGGGCGTACGACATGGTGAAAGGAGTAGTGGTCACGAGTGGGGAAAATGTTCGGGAGTAGAAGATCGGCGCGTTGCCTGTTGGGCCCAATCGATTCGCAGGCCCTGGAACCGTGGCGCCGGGACGCATGTCCCCTGGAACCGTGGCGCCGGGACGCATGTCCTCATCATAGCATTATGGTTTCTACATACGTTGTATTTGCTATGCATAAAAGAAAATATATATAGAAAAATCAAAACGTCTTATAATTTAGAACGAATTTAGTAGGAATTTTGCAACATTTAACGGCATAACAACCACAAGCTGATCCCACTATAATAAAGAATGAATCTGTTCTTAGATGAACAACTCATCCACAAGAGCCCACTAAGACTATCTCCAAGAGCACAGACCTAAACAGGAGACCCATTTGATGGTTTGGGTCACGTTGTGGCAAAGAGTCACAACCTAAAAGTTCTCTTTTCCAACTAACAAACGCAAAAGGCATGGCAACAGCAGTTTGGCGTGGCGTAACTGGAGCCAGAACAAGCATTCAACGTGACTTTTATTTGTGTTCCCCATCATGTCCCACCCAAAATGGGTCTGTCCTTTGCGTCTTCTGTTGGACCTCGTTGTCTTCCGATAAAGCGACGTGAAGTAGACATTTTGGGTTTGAGTGTCGTGATGTGTCGGCTGTTGGAGACAGTCTAATTCGGTCTATAATGGCCCCTTTGCAATGTAGGAAAGTTACATGAATTGTATACAAATTTTATAAGAATCAGTTTATTTTCAAAAAACGTATAAAAAAAAAAATCCGCATTTCAGAGGAGGTCTAAGTGTGAAAGTTTTGATTTTGACACTAGGATCCTCAACACCGGAATATTTTGTGTTTTCTATAAAAAAATAAGCTGAGTTTTTTTTTTCGAAGTATTTTTGCGTTTCAAAGAGGCCTAGATTTTCACGTTGAGCATGGTCAGTATCCAAATTACGGAAGCACCCTCCAACGCGGCACTCTGCTCTTCCATTCCTGACCCCATCACGCCCGCCCATCTCAAGATTTCAGCCGCCGTCTTCTCCCTCGCTCCGCCACTCCTCCCCCACCACTCCACTAAAACCCTAATCCCTCGCCGCCATGGCTGCGGCGGCGGCGGCGGCGGCCACCTCGCTTCTACTACGCCACCACGGCAACCCCCACCTCCTCCTCCGCGCCGCGATCTTCTCCTCCCGCGCGCTGCCCCAGCAGCCGGAGCTGTCCCCTGACCCGACCGCCGGCGCCCCCGACCCCGCTCCACTCCCCCCAAACCCCAGCACGGGGAGCCCCTTCTACAGCCAGAACTGGCGCAACCCCGCCGCCGCCAATCCTTCCTCCTCGCTTCTGCCCACCGTCGTCGCCGGCAGCCACTTCGGGGCGCAGCACCGCATGACTGCCTTCTACGATACGCCCGACGCCGCGGGGCTCAAGGAGACGTTCGCCAAGTATATGGCGGAGCAGCGGTGGGAGGACATGAAGCATCTGTTCGACCACTGGGCGCGCTCCCTCGACGCCACCACGGGGAAGCCCAACCATCCCGACGTCGACCTCTTCAATCACTACCTCCGCGCCAACCTCATGTCGGGGGCCCTGCCGCACGAGATGCTCGATCTCGCTGACCACATGCGCGAGTTCGAGCTCGAGCCCAACACTGCATCGTACAACCTCGTGCTCAAGAGCATGGTCGCTGGGCAGGAGTCCGAGGGCGCCGAGAAGCTCATTGAACGGTTAGTGCGCTATTCTTGTATTGGTAGCATTGTCGTTGCCAAATGCACTGGATGAGGTAGTCTGATTTCTGTTCCGGCACCTAGTTTATTTACTATACTTTTAGGTGCGGACCTATAAAACTATATAATGGTATAACCATACAAGTATCTGTTGGGAACCTATGGATTACACTGTTGATTTATCTTTTGTGATACCAGGATGTGGTTGATTCCGATGACTGTTGCCAAGTCTGATATGATTACTTGCATAGTTTCCTGTTTTACTTTGGATATTGGTATGTTAATAGGCTAATAGATTGATAGCTTGACCTAAGGTACACGGCATGGTCCGCATATAATTGGGATTGACACACATAATGATTGGAAATGGAAATATCATGATCTCTCATGCTTGACGTCGGTTGGTTTTGCATTTTGTTTTATGGATGTGTGGAGATTGTTGATTCATGAGGTTCTATGAAAATTGGTTTGCTCAGACTACCTCTATATTATGGATTTGTGATGTGTGGTCGATAGGAACTCTGTATCCTTTACATTACATAGTGTATACTTATTAAAGCGCCTTTTAGGTTGGGTTTTTAATTCCAGAAACTGGTCTTACCTACACTGCTGTAGTTTACTTCTTAAAGAAATATGTGCAGCATTGATATAACAAAGGTAGTATTGGAATTTTTATGCACATTAAATTTCTTGTATTCCTAACAACCTATACTATAATTTGTACCAAAATTTGTTGTTGTTTCAAGGTCACTTTGTGACTCTACTACATTACATTTGACTCTGAAATGATTCTCTATTTGTTGAAATCAGGATGCTGCAAACAGGAACATTTCCAGATGATGAATCCTACAATTTGGTTGTAGGCCTGCTTATTAGGCAGAACCTTGTTGACTCATCTCTGAAGTATTTGGATCTGATTCTTAAATCAGGCTACACGCTATCACTAACTGTTTTCACTGATTATATCCGAGCATGTATGAGATCCAGGAGGTTGGACACGTTGACATCAATTATAGAGAAATGCAAGGTACATATTCTTGGAATGCTTAATCTAGTGGACCTGAGTTATTTGGGATTGTTAATTGCAGCTGGTCTCGGTTCTCAGTGTTATTTTTTTGGTTATGCACCTTTGAACCTTTGGCATTCTCATTTTTGGAATATAACCTTTTGCATATTTATGTCAACTTGAAAAATATCTGTCTGCCTTGTTTATGATGCTGTCTTTTTTTTTGTACCAGACAACGGATAAGAACAAAGTATTGTGTCCACAATGGGCCTGGTGCATTGACACAGCAGAAGCTGCATTTGAAGCTAATAATAGCAAATTAGCTCTTTTTGCTTTGGAATTTCTTGCAAGATGGATTGCTCGTGGTGAGAATGTTAATCCTCCTGTTCAGCTGTCAGTTACTGAAGGTCTTGTAATATCAGCTCTGAGTGCTGCTGGCAGAACTTTTAGTACTGACCTCTTGAATGCTGCTTGGTCGCTATTACGGAAGTCCCTGCGCCAGAAAAGGACACCCACCCCAGAGACATATCTTGCCAAGATCTATGCTCATTCATCAATTGGCCAGCTTCAAAGGGCTTTTGGTACATTGCGTGAATTTGAAAATGCCTATAGGAACTCTGAGGACATTGATTTAGAGCTCTTCTCACCATTTACTTCCTTGCATCCTCTTGTTGTTGCTTGCTGCAAAGATGGCTTTAGCACACTGGATTCGGTACATTCATGCCACTTGTTATACATGATTCATTAAGATGGCCATTTGTACTTTTATTTTGCAAAGTACTCCCTCTGTTCCAAATTTTAAGTTGTTCTGGCGTTTCTAGATACATAGCTTTTGCTATGCACCTAGATATACATTATGTCTAGATACGTAATAAAAGCTATGTATATAGAAAAGCCAGAATGACTTACAATTGGAATGGAGGGAGTAGGACGGAATACCCTAATCGCATAAATTCCTCTCTGCAGGTTTATGTTAAGTTGGAGAATCTGAGTCGTGCAGATCCACCATACAAATCTGTTGCTGCTCTCAACTGTGTTATATTAGGGTGTGCAAACATTTGGGACATTAATCGAGCTTATGAAACTTTTGTGGCTATTAAGGAAAAATTTGAACTCACACCAGACATTCATTCATACAATGCTCTTCTGTGTACATTTGGAAAGTTGAAACAGGTATTGTTATTTGTTTGATAAAATTTATGGCCTCTTTTTAACTTGTTCTGCAACAATTCCTTCAAATCCATTTGCCCTTCTGTATTGCAGACAGGAGAAGCATGTAATGTGTTCCAGCATGTATTAACTCTTGGTGTTAAGCCAAATGCAACAACATACTCCCTGCTTGTCGATGCCCATCTTGCAAACAAAGATCCAAAAGCTGCTCTTGCCATAATTGATGAGATGGTTTGTCCAAACTACAATTTAAAATGCATTTTCACATGGAAATTTTTTCTCTAATTATGTTCGGTTCAGGTCGATGCTGGCTTCACTCCTTCCAAGGATACCCTAAGGAAGGTTCGAAGACGGTGCTCTCGTGAATCAGACTTTGACAGTGACGAGAAAGTCCAATCCCTGTCTAAGCAGTTCAACTACCGAATGGGTGGTGAGAATCGTAGAGAGATGCTTTATAGCATAGAATACAATCCTGTGTACTGAAGCAGTAAGTACTGGCCCATCTACTGGATTTCACCCCATGTAGTGGTTCTGTTTTCACCCTGACAATTAGTGTTGCATCTTGCTAGTTATGCTTTCCTGGCTGTTTCACCTGACTTTATATGACGCTGGTGTTCTTTTCATTTTGATAGGCAGTTCGTGCTGAGTTTGCTGGCCGTTGGGAGAGCACGGACATTGTAGCTTGTAAATTACTTGGATGTACCAGGATTCTTAAGCAATTTTCAGTTTCTCGATCATCATTTTTGCTCGCAGGGTTGATGCTAGGAATTGCTAATAAGTCTGTCATACTAGTTGTTTGTTTGAAAATCCGAAAATGTCAGTTGTTTTTTTCATAAATTGTAGCATCTGCATGGCCCCACTTCTTACGTGACTTCAAGTTTTTTTTTTTTTTTTTTGGCTTTGTTTACATTTGTAGCTAACGAAGAAGTCCTGGGATGATTGGGTCCCAGCTTATGCTATTCTTGTTCTGGAAATTTAATTATGTGAATGACTACGGCGTGTCCACTAATTTATCAGAAACTGGCAATTTAGTCACCTCAGATCCTCAAATATTTTTGCTACTTCTGTTTCATCATGCCAGAAATACACTTATTTTAGGACAAAAAGTTAGTAATTTCAGTTTTGTGACAATAATGGTAGCCGTTCTCGTTTTTGCGCGCCCGCCCGCGGGTTCATGCTGAGACCTAGTTGCAGTTGCTGTCCTTCCGTTTGCCTTGAAAATATTCAGTAAAACCCCAGAAAAATATACTTATACTTTTTTAAGAAATAAAACGATGCATATTCATAGTGAACTTATAAATGTACTTGCACACAAAAGTTGAGATGCAAACTTGTTTTGTAAAAAAAAATAACAAATTGTAGGACTGTACATTTTTGTAGATTTTTTAGGTTGAGTTTGCATCTTAACTTTTGTGACAAAGTATGAACATGTTTGGTTGGTGACAAAAATTTGCTACGCCTAATGTTAGTCATGTCACAATTTTTTTTATAATTGTTTGGTTCACTACTACAACTATGGAGCGTTACACTTTAGCACCATGCTCTATATATATAATGTTTTTCTCTCACAACAATACAGCCGCAGTTAGCTTATCAGCTACAAAAATCATCGGCTGAACAATGTCATATACTCATTTTTCGTGCCAAACTTTGCCGGTGTGGCTTTGATTTACTCGCCACACTTTTTGTGGTAGCCATAGTTTATCAAAGGTTGGACGTGGCAAACTACGGCATAACCAAACAGGCCATAGTCTGCCATGAATGTGTATCTTTTTTAGTTCTTTTTTTTAAAAAAAACTTTAGGGTTTTACGTATCCATAAAAAAAGGCTTACAAAGAATATTTTCCCCAATTAAGATGGGGTTGAACGTCTAATGGCTAATGCCCATATCACATATCATAAGAGTACTAAGGGTCCCTTTAACATCGGTTCTAGTCCTAACTTCACGCTTAGCTTCCGCAGAGCCTTGCCACACACTTAAAATGTAACTGGATTCTGGTGGAGAGCTGATGAGATTCATTTCTCTATTTACACTACGAGCTAGAAGCTTAAAAAATGCTCCACCGCTTCCCACTGCTCCCCATTCATTTGCCACAGGACTTACTTCATAATCGATTCTTAGCTGCTCCCCACCTTAGAGCATCTCCAAGAGTACCATATTTCCCTATCCAATCCTTAGTTTTTAGCAAGACGAAAAAACCCTCTCCAACAACTCCTAATCCATGGTCATAAAATTTACGCACTTATGAAATCCTTCCCCGTCGTGGTAACATTGTGCGTAGTCGCGGTCGCACAGATAGTGCTTTCCCGTGCATATCGACCGGTCAGTCTAAAGGTGAAGTGTAACACCCTCGGTGTTACACAGTGAATCACTTGCTAAAACATATCATGAGCATCATACTTAAGTGATATTGCATGTGGTGTGATGGATAGGTAAAGCATTGTAACTTAAACGAGTCGTAAAAACGTAAAACGAAAAGTTAATTCACGATTTATAAAGTTAGCAAGTAAAGATGTTAACTAATTTTTATTGAACAAAAACACTATAAAACATATATGTGACACCTTAATAAAGTTTGAAGTACACATTTTGTAGAAGGTAGTGCAACTTTTGTTTTAACAAGATAATAACGCTAGCTAACATTTCTAATAGCATGGAAATCGAATTCGAAGTAAATCCAACTCAAGACTTAGTCAATTTCTTAAGTTTGAAAACATATTGACAAAGCTATGTTTGGTAATTTATTCTGTAAAAATTTAGTTTAGGAGTGGTGTCGTTCTTTAGCTCTTGTTGATAGCCTAAGGTGCCCTCTTTAGAGTAGTGAAGGTGGTTTGGGGATTGGATCAACTGTGTAGTTGTTTCGAATGCTTTAAAATCCGTGCATAACGTGTTCTCGGGCTGTTTTCCCGGCTGGACGCGATCACCATGCCGAGCGGCCTCGACGTCGTGGCGCTCCGTGCGCGCAAGCACACGTGTGGCCGCGCGCTGGCCGACCGGAGCTGCCCGTGCTCTGGCCGCATCACTAGCCGCCTCGGGCTGCAGCCGCGCGGAGCCATGGCTGCCCGACTCGCCACGTCGTGCTGCCCCCGCCTACTGCCGTTGCCGCGCGTTGCTGCTCCCTCTGTGCCGCGCCACGACAACGCCGCTGCCGTCGCATCGCTGAGCTACGCTGCACTACACTGCGCCACTGGCCCGCCTGGACGCTGCACGCACGAGACCGAACCGTCGTCGCCATGCCATTTATGGCACTGCGGCGCACGGGACACGCCGACCTCGAGCGCGTATCATCGGCTAGTGCAGGCCGTAGTCGCTCCGGTCGCGTCAACCGCGTCCCGCCAAGCAAGCATAGGCTGAGCCTTGATTGCGTCCCCACCGTCTCCCGCCCCTCCCCTATCCTCTTCTTTGCTGCCGCCGCCGAGCCGTGCTAGCCCGCCTGCATGCGAGAAGCCATCTCCCATCAATTCCATGTGCCTGCACCTATGCTCTCACGTCCTCTCGCTGCCCGCCCTCACCTAGACTTGAACCGTTCAAGGCCAAGCTCCAATTTGAAGCTTCACCCCGCCACCGCGGCGTTAAGACCCATCACCGCCCTCACTGTGGCCAGCCCCCTCCTCAACGTCTCAAGCCGAATTAGCTACACCACTAGCCCCGCCTAGAACCCCTCCTCGTCGTGCGCACCTAAGCCGCACCTCTACCATTGCCTCCTCGCCGCTGGCATGACCGTGTCGCTGTGGTTCGCCATCGAGCTCGCCACGTGCACGCGGTCAGGCTCGCTCGGGGCATCTCCGGCCGAACCATCACCTCCACTAGGTCAGTGGTGAGTCCCAGTTGCTCACCCGCTATCCCTACTGCCGTGTTAATACTGTGGCTCACTAGAACGCCGTCGCCATTGCCACAGGGTGCCCATCGTCGTGGAGAGGCCCTTCTACTGCATCTCAGTTCGTGCAGCCACCACCCATCGCTTCGCGTCAAACCCTAGGTGAGCGTTGGCCTCGTAGATAGGTCAGCGTGGGTCCCGTGTGGCCGGCGCAAGCGCCAGTGCCATCGCTTGCCGCGCCAGCGCACACGGGGATGGTCGAGGACCATATCGTTGTAAAGGAGGAAGATTACGAGGGTGTTCTTGCAAAGTTGCTTTCTATAGGAATAGTGCGAACATTGTCGTGCGAATACTAGGTAGCGCAGGGGCGTCTCTGCAAAAGCGCCAGCGTGCGGGCTATCTCCCGCCGTGGGCCAACCTGTATGAGTGAGCCGCGCCTGCGGGCCATGCCTGCGCGCGCGCTGCACGCAAGTGGGCCGAGTCCGCGTGGTTGTGGGCCGCGCTGGTGAATTCGTTTTTCCTTTTCTTAAGGAATTAGAAATAGCTTTATGTTTTAATTTCTGAGCTGAACTTTGAAAATTAATATCAATTCGCATAGGTGTCCAAAAATTGTGTAATAAATTTTGTTGAGTTCCTAAAAATATTGTCTATCTGATGGTATGACTAGATTATGCAGGTCTGAGTTGATGCTATGGCTTATTAAATCATTTGAGAGTGTTTAACATTATTTAGGTTAATATTTGTAGAAATTTTTGTGGCAAATTGGTAATAGTTTTGTTCATGAAATTTTTACAGTAGGTTCATTGTATTATTATGTGCTCACTGTAATTTTTGTGGCTCTAGAATAGACCGAGAAATAAGGTAGTTAGGTGCTCCTTGTTTTAATATACATTAAATCATTAATAAAAGAAGAAATGCATTTTAGTTGCTAAGATAATACTTGAATGTTTCATACCTATTTAGTGGAAAGGATGGGTAGCTTAGCATCTTAGTCATTAGAGTTAGCTTAGTAGCTTGGTAGATGTATTGTTATTTTAAGAGTTGTTGTTGTCGTAATACTAAGTGTTGCATCATTATTGCATGCATGTAGAGAATGAGTTGGTGGAGTTCATGACCGCAGGCGAGCAGGAGTACGAGGAGGTGATCGAGGAGTATGAGGAGGAGGTTCTTGTACATGAGGGAGCCCTGGAGCCACCAATGACTGACCTTGCTGACACCGTGCCTACCCAAGGCAAGCCCCGGTGCATAACCCTTATTTTGAATAATCACTAGATATATATATATATATGATGTGCATTTATGTTATAGGCTTATTGTTAAAACTACATGATACATATACCTACCTATGAGTCTACTAGCTTAGGTCAAGTAGCTGCTATGCTTAGGGTTTTTGGTAGCGTGAGTAACTTGCCGTTGCCATTACTCATAGTAGGTAATTATTATTACTGCTCTTATAATAAAATGGTGAAAGGAAAATGGAGATCCGGGCAGGGATATGGTACGGGTATTGGTGGGTGTAATAGGTTGTGTCCCACGATCAATGGGGCATAGCTTGGTTACACTGTTTTCCCTGTCCATGTCGGTAAAGGACCGTCCGTTGCTGTGGATGGTAGTCAGGTCACAAACTTATTATCCTTAGCACATACTTGCTTATGGGAGCGAGAA